CAATAAAAAAAAACTTAACAATCTCCACAACCCCTAAACTGATACTATATTTATGTAAGTAAACAAATTGAAATAAGTAAAAATTTGTTTATTATTAAAAAAGTGTACATTTATGATGAACATCTAATGAAAAGTTGTGATCAATGTATAAAACTAATAGGCTGTTCGTGGAGTTTAGTTCTTCGTGTTAAATGATTTCGTCATGGAGCTTTCATTGTTCTTCTAAACAACATCATTAGCATAAAATTCACTTTAAAGTGAAGTGTTCGAATTCGTTCACATATTGTATTAAACCAGAACGCAATTGGGGATAATCGTATGCATTTGAATACAAAATTACAGAATTTCCTGGTAAAATCTGAGAACCATACAGTAAATTACTTAGTTTGCAAAATATCAGTCAATCGTCTCAGATTTCATTGTTCTTTCGTTTCCACATCAATCGTTCTTTGTCCTCGTTCTCTTTTCTTTGATCTTCTTAACCTTCTACTGCCAGGTATTTCACTTTCGATTGATGATGCATACTACTTATGTATGTTGACCTCAGTAGCACATCCCACAATGTGACTCCCAGCTTGTGCTGTGGAGAAATTCGGACACTTCAGTCCTATTTGAATTCTGTGCTGATGATGTCGTTCAGAAGAATGATGAAAGCTTCATGACCAAACTATCCAGCTCAGAGAACAAAACTCCACCAAAATCATCCACCTGATCTATAAACATTCTCCACCATATTCGTTATGAAACTATTACTGAAATAATAAAAACAGAGAGAGAAAAGTTGGAGATCCGAACAAATACTCAAGAATTTGAGAGTAAAACTCCAAGTGATCTATCTCTATTCATGTTTTTTTTTAAAATGAACTATTAATTTAATTGAAGTACTGTAGTCAAAAAGCCTTACGTTGAGTATTTACTAACATGTACTAGGATGTGTGAGATTAAGGAATCAAGAAATGTATTGGCATCAACATCCTTTCTCACCCGGTAGACAGTAAACAGTAAATGAAAGTAGAAGGAGACTTCATGATTCTGAGTCTGCGTCAAGTACCCGATAATCTACCTAAAGTAGCAATACCTGTTGAACCTAATGATGAATTTAATAAAAAATAAATGTTCGCTTAAATAGTCTTTGATTTTAGTTGCTCACTAAAGACCTTTAAGCCAATATGTGTGTGAAATGCTTTGAAAGGAATAATGTTGATTCACCATGAATGCTACACAGTAATATTTCTATGACCCTTAGTTCTCGTATTGACTGGACAAATTATGTGCAAGTATTCAAATAATTGAATAACTTTACTATATGTGTGTTGTGAGCTACTTATAACTATATAAGTAGTATATAACGATAGTCAGGAATAGAATGTATTTCAGTGGAAGATAGAGAAGGAAAGGACGGAAACGAAAAGCAATTGATATGAAAATTCAGGAACAATGAAATCTGAGACGATGGATCGATATTTGCAAAAGAAACAGTTAAGTTTGAGACGATTGGTTGATATTTTGCAAATGAAGTATTTAGCGTATGGTCATCAGATTTCAGTGAGATGTTCTGCAATGTCATGTTTAAATACATTCGTTTCTTCCACTTGTGTTCTTGTTGGTTGCATCTGATCGAACAGCTTGATAGAAACTATTCACCAGATCTTAAATATTATTGACATACGCACACACAAACACAAATCCGTTTCTATTCACAAGGAACTTTTTACATTATTCTCATCTTTCCTATTTGCTAAAATTAACATTTGAATATGATTGGGTAAGCTTGAAGTGTAGATTTGATTATTACACTCTATATATTCTTCGACAACTTTAATCTTTGTTGAAATCACGAACCGATCCAAGTTAGACAACCATTTCAATGCTGTGGATAATAGATGACCGTTTCTTCCTTGTATAAGACTCCTCAGAAGTGTGTATTTATGCTTCCGCAGGTGGGAATCATACCCAATTCAATGGTTTAGAGATTAACCTTTCACAAGAATGACCGAAGCTTCTGAGTTCGATTCCCACTCCCGACGTCGTGCATGTGCATTACTGAGGAGTCCCATAATGAGGAGAAACGATAGTTGTCTAACTCAGATTGGCTCATGATTTTAGTGAAACTAAAAGATCTTCACAATTCATACTGACAATTTTGGTTTTGATGATTATCCGATGAAGTCTAGACAAGATTGCTGCAAGAAACCTTAGAATTACTTACATTTCAATCGCTAAAATAGAACAATGAGTAAACGGAGTTGATCTGAAAAATGTGCTGTGTACATTTCGATGCAATCAAGAGTCATTGAACACGTGCCTAGATGGTTTCAAAATCAATCTATGTCAAATGATCCAATCAATGTGGAAGGCAGAAAACTATTTTCATCAATAGCGAAACATATAATTGAAACGGGGCACAAAATTTACAATTAATACATCTTTTAAAACGTTGTGTAGAAATTGTCAAGGACGAATTCTCAGATTCAATCCCCTCCCACTAATGTGTACAAAAACAATTTGTCATAACCTTGAATTTACCCTGGTAATCCTCAATGAGGATCTAATCGAAAACATAATTGTTCACTTATATATGTTGTTTTTAATCGTTAAGTCATTCTATCACCTAGGATAACGCGATCATTTGTTATTCTTTCTATACAATGTAAAATTGTTTCTCTCCCGTTTGTTACTTTTTTGACTTGAACTTTCATTTAATTGACCTTCATTACTTTTCATATAATAATGCCGTAACAGGTATATGTGTGACCAGATTGTTCGAAATGTATAACACAAATACATCACATTTTTCAGATCAACTTGAAGCATTGAACGTCCATTTCGTCCTATTATAGGACTCCTCAGCAGTGCGTATTCACGGTCACGAACCGCAAGAATCGAATCAAGGACTTATCAGTTTCACGCGCGAGCTCTCAACCACTAGACTAGTGAGCCAGCCGGCATCCAACGTTGTCAATGTCTAACTTCAATTGACTCATGAATTTAACTATTAAATTACTATAATATCCAAAAAAACTCCTCTCTGATTATTTCATTTCATTATGAAACTGCTTTAATCTTTTTTTTAAACTAACATTAACAACTCACTACGTACTTACTTACTTACTTACTTACTTACTTACTTACTTACTTACTTACTTCAACACTTACTTACGCCTTTTACCAACAATGGAGCATAGGCTACAGACGAGCATTCACCCAACCCACTCTGTCCTGGGCCTACCTATCCGGTTCTATCCAATTCTTGTTCATTTTTCTCATGTCTGTCTCTATTTCTCGACATAATGAAGCATTAAAAACTATATACTTAAAATTCAATTAGATACTAATGAATTTGTAATAAAATGAAAATAGTAATGTTATAAACTGAAATCATTTAATACTTTATACTACTTAAAATACTTATCTAAAATACAATTCGATTCATAATCACTATGACGTAATAATAAATATTATCTGAAATAAATGACAGGACAATAGATTCTTCCGTAACTGTTCACTTCTCTGAAATCTTCTATTCACCAATAAATGAGATATTTATATTTAACTACCATAATTAATCCCAATAGTATATACATCAATAAAGAATAAAGCTACCATTAAATTACCATTTATATTGAACTGTTTTAATTTATATGTCTGTATGAAAATAAGATTAATGCTAAGTAATTGTTTACTTACTTACTCCTGTTAACCCTCGTCAAGGAGCATAGGTCGACAATCAGCAGTCTCCATCCAACCCTGTCCTAAGCAATTCTTTCCAGTTGCTATTCATCATTTTCATATCTGCTCGTATTTCTTGACGTAGTGTGTTCTTCGTTCTTTCTCTTTTCCTTTTCCCTTCAGGATTACAAGTTAGCACTTGCCTCATGATGTACTTTGATGATTTCCTTAATGTATGTCCTATCCACTTCCAAAGTCTTTTCCTAATTTCCTCTTTATCTGGGAGCTGATTTATTCTCTCTCACAGTAGGCTGTTGCTGATGGTATTCGACCAATAGATGTTGAGTATCTTGTGTAGACTACTATTTATAAAAACTTGTACATGTTTGACGATGGTTGTGGTAGTTCTCCATATTTGGTTGCTAACTGATAGTTAGTCAATATTATGATGGAATGAGCTTTGATTTACTTAGCTATGTGTTATACTGATCCTTATCAGTAAGGTAAATGAAGAATTTGTTGTATTTACAACATAGAAACCAAAAACTTAGGTATATAGTGAGTACTTAACGTCTTAAATAACTTCAAGGATATATATATGTATATATAACCAACATCAGTGAATTTTGTTACTAGGGTGATCAGAACGAACTTATCAACTTCTCCATTCAGAATAAATATTCACAGAAGAATGAATGACATCACATTACCAGTTCTTTTTATTTCAATATTATTTCTGATATGCGCTCGGAACGAGATGAGTTTGTTTAAGTCAAGGAATAATGTTCATTTTATGAGATTAAGTAATCGGCCTTGATGAGTACTGTCAATGAAATTGAATAGTTAGGTTTTAAGGTCCTGACATTTACTTACATCTACTAAATGTTTTGGTTAAAGGTTACATTTGTTGGCTTAATGATAGCATAATATACCCAACTGATAAGGTCTGGTTACTGCTAAGAATTAATTAAAATCAGAAAGGGTTTTTTTGAAAATTGTATTTATTCAATAGTTGAATTCATGATTCGATTAAAGTTAGAGATAGTAACTTACTAAAGCCAATGGTGGACAGTGGTGCGATTTCGTGGATTGGTTGAAGTTAGACATTAACACCGTTGGATGACGGCTCACTGGTCTAAAAGTTAATTGCTCGTGCGCGAGACTGATAGGGCCTAGGTTTGAGTCTTGCGAAGCGGCATCGTGAGTGCGCACTGCTGAGGAGTCTAACAATGGGACGAAACGACAGTCCAGTGCTTCCAGATTTTCAATTATATTTTAATAATATTGTCTATTTTATTTATATAATCTTGTTATTGGTATGTTTTTGATAGGTTGAACCATGTTGTTGGATGACATATACATCACATCGTGAAACTCAAGAAACACTTCAAATATTAAATGATTTAGATTTAGATACAGAAAGGAGAACTGACGAAGAATTATATTCAAAATTTGGTTGGGATGATGCATATCAATCTGGTAAATTAACTTTATGGCAAAGGTATAAACCAAAAATTTGGATGTTATTCGATGAATGTTATTCATCATTAGGGGCAAAGGTAAGTGAATTTACTTGTATAAATCTACATTGATCAGATAATCTGTAGGTAATGAACGTGAAAGAACAAAGAATCGATTAATGTGTCTCATTGTACATTAGGTGTAAGTTTGTCAACAAGAACAGTTGCAGTAATAATTATCAATTGAGGTTGTGGAACGTGACGGTTTAACTATACTATTTAAAATCAGTAATGGTTAGCTAAAGAAAGAAGAGATTCATTTTACGGCGTTGAGTGTACTTGTTGTAGGTTTTAGATGATATGTCATGATTTCATTGACTGTCACCTTTGGACTGTAATTACATGAACATAGACGTTTTGATGTTAGAAACTTAAATGTCTATTCATTTTTACTCAACAATTCATGGCTAGATTTAAGTTACTTCTGAATGTCTATTCTAGCTAGATAGCTTTACTTGCGTGAATCAAATAATGGACTAATTTTACTATGTAAACTACAAAAAAATGAAGTTTGTGTTTCGACAGAGAATCTCTCCTACTGTTCTATCCAATCATCTCATCAATGAAACATCCAGTAAAGGAATATGAAGTACTTAATGGATTTGTCTAATAGGGCTCAGTAAGTCATTTTTGTGTTTCAGGACTATAAGAATATTGCCCACGTTGTAACAATAGAGTTATAACCAGTTCATGAAAATTTTTCTAAAGAGTCATCCTCTGGTTTTATCCAAGACATTTATTTATTATTTATTTATTTACGCATATTACCCCTCGTGGACTGTCATAGGCCACCTACCAGCACTATCCATCCAACCCTGTCCTAGGTGGTCTTTCCTAGCTCTTTCCAGATGCTATTCATCATTTTTACATCTGCTTGCAATTCTTAACGTACTGTGTTCTTCGGTCTTCCTCTTTCTCGTTAAACTTCACGATTCCAAGTTAGTGCTTGCCTCATGATGCAGTTCGGTGATTTCCGTAATGTATGTCCTATCCACTTCTAACGTCTTCTCCTAATTTTCTATTTATCTAGGAGCTGATTTATTCTCTCTCATAGTAGGCTGTTGCTGATAGTATCCGGCCAACGGATATTCAGTAATTTGAGTAGACAACTGTTTAGAAATACTTGTACATTTCCTATTCCTATGTAGCAGCTAGATGAGCAGTGAATGGTTATTTTGACTTAGCATGGAATTCCTATATGATTCCCATCTACAATCTTATTAATGATTCCACTCCATAATTTAAAACTTGCTTAGTAGGGGATGATTATCCAAGGTAAATGTTATAGTAAATCTTAAGTTATTCACATCTTTCCATTTAACTGGAAAAAAATGTACTTCAGCTATCCTATTTGTATAAACTTCAAATGAATAATTTTGACAAATGTTTGGTAAAAAGACTAAATCCCATGTATATTGCATAGATTTACTAAATTCTGTCAGTCTGTGAAAACCGCATCCTAATACCACTATTCTAGGAAGGATATAATAAACCTAATCCTCCCCTATCCGTGGGATAGTTCAGATATAGGTCCTTGGTTCGAATCTCGCGGGGTGCGGGATCGTGGATGCGCACTGCTGAGGAGTCCCATACTAGGACGAAACGGCCGTCTAGTGCTTCCAGGTTTTCCATGGTGGTCTCGCTTCAATTGACTCATGATTTTAATCATAAAGTCTCTTTATCTACCCACTGTTCAGTAGTAGATAATCACAGTCAAAGTTGTTTATTTTAGATCCAAAGTAAATGTCAGGATCAATATATCTTCTATTTTTGACAGTTTGAAACCTGAACGAATTTATCTAGGGATCTCCATATACTTTACTATTGAGTTCTGTAAAATACTTAAATAGTTCAGCCTCAACACCATTAAGAACAATATACAAATTAATTAAGGGGCATTATTTAAATGAATTATGTTTGTAAAGAAAAATTCATATCATACCTTTGATCTTATTTGACTTACATAGGCCTGTTACTCACAATGGAGCATAGGCTGCCGACCAACATTCTACAACTCACTCTGTACTCGGCCTTCCTTTGCAGTTCTATTCAATTTTTATTCATTCTTTTCATGCCTTTCTCCATTTATCGAAATAATGTCTTCTTTGGTCTTTCTCTTCTCCCCTCACCTTCGAGATTATAAGCAAGGCCTTAAATTGTGACGTTGTTGGGTGCTTTCCTCAATTTGTATTCTATCCACATCCAGCACATCTTCCTGAGTTTTTACTCCACTGAAATCTGCTATGTTCTCTCTCATAGTAGGTTGTTGCTGATAGTGTCTGACCAACGGATGTGAAGTATTTTGAGTTGACAACTGTTAATAAACACTTGTATCTTCTGGATGATGGTTGTGGTAGTTATCCAAGTTTCTACCTCATGCAGTAGAACTGTCTTGACATTTGTATTGAGAATTCTGACATTGGTGTTGGCTTGTGGATAGTTGTTTTGAGTTCGATTTGTTGTTCAATGGTAGATATGCTGCTCTTGCTTTGTCTATCCACGCCTTCATATCTGCATCAGATATGATGCTGCCCAGATATGTGAAGATTTTTACACCCTCGAAAGCTTGTCGATCATGTGCGATTTGATTGATGCATGTTGTGTTAAATCGGAAAATCTTGCTTTTGCGTTTGCGTATGTTGATATCTACTGCTTGTAGTGTGGCGTCGAGTCACGCTTAACTATGATCACCACTACAGGAAGACTACGTGCCAGTTACTCGATATGATCCCCCGTGGGCCAAATATCAGAAGGCAGTTGCTGGCTGTAGTCAAGATGTATTTGTTGGCGATCTCATGGTATCTAAATAATACCGATATTGTGCCAGGTCACAAGTGTTGTTAGTGAGCATAACCGACTTCGTGCAAGGTCACAATCAACGGAAGAATGTATTGTTATAACTTGTGACCGCCGATTAGAGAATAGTAAATTATCGATCGGACCAAGGACGCGTAAAACACGCGCGAGCAGCCTAGAGTTCTGATTGGTCCTGCTTCCCGCCTATCTCAGCCAGTTGAGTGCAGAACACCAATCCGAGGCTCTGTGATATGAATCATGTATTCCAAACATACTGGGTTTATATACCAACCGTACAGACCACATCGTACCATAAAATAGAAAATAACATTTGTACAAGATTTGGCCAAATGTGGCCGTGAATGTGGGAGGTAGTGCTTAATAGACAGGGAATAATTCAAGAATGGAAAATCTCATAATAACAGTTCATAAGTTAAAATAAAGCTTATATCAAGAGAGACATGAATATGAATAGTTTAGTTAATTAACAATCATACGATAAAAATATACGTATAGTATTTGATCCACAAATGGGTCCCGAAAATTACCACTCATTATTCTCATCGGGACATAACATGTATGAATTTTGGTACAGTTAAACAAACAAATACGGTACGATAATCTGTGATAGAATCGGTTATAATAATAATTGTTTGCATCACTATGATAATTAGAAGTATTTGAATTATAGTACGAACTAAGAATCCCAGAAATAACGTAGTCGGATCAAGACGTACTAGATAACCACAAACGAATGTACTGTATTTAGAAGTCGAAATCAAGCATTCAACAAGTACAAAGGAATCATCAGTTTATTCAAACACCACAATTACACTAATCGCTTTCTCTTGATAAAAGTTGGCCAATACATCCCTTTGAAGTTGCTTCTACACTGGTCATCTTTCCCCAAATTTGTTGTTTTGTGTGCCATAGAAGAGCAAGATTATCCGCGAAGTCTAGATCGTCCAGATGCATCCACTGTATCTCATGCTTCCCCCCCCAGATGTTGACGTCTTCATGATCTAGTCGCTCACCAGGAGAAAGAGAAAGGATGAGAGTAAGTAACCTTGCCTGACACCGGTCTTTACTTCGAACAAGTCTGTCAGCTGTCACTAAATGTTCATCATGTTAACAATCTGCCATCTCCAAACTAAATTATTCTTTTTAAGAAGAAAATCTTGATCAAAGTTTGAATATTTATAGTGATTTCTATAATAACTAGTACAACTCTAATAAAATTAATATTATAATTGATAGACGATGGTGCGCTATTGTTCAAACAATTCCTATCAACCAGATTTTAATGTTATTATCCATAATCTTCATAATTATTCACTACTAGCATATACAATTCTAAAAAAAAAGTAATAAACTGGCTTGCTCTATTCGACAATCTACAAGAATTCTTTTTACTTACTTATTACCAACAATATGGATCTAACATTCTAGATCATAAGATAGCATAATATCCTTCAAAACTTTAGCCCTAGTATAATTCACCAATGGATTAATCCATTAGTCTGTATATTTGAACACTGAATAATGTAACAAAACAATTTCGTGGATTGGTTGATGTTAGACACTAACACCATTGGATGCCGGCTCAGTGGTCTAATGGTTAAGTGCTCAGGCTCGAAGCCGGTAGGTCCTGGGTTCGGATCCCGCGGGGTGCGGGATCGTGGGTGCGCACTAGCTGAGGGGTCCCATACTAGGACGAAACGGCCGTCCAGTGCTTCCAGGTATCCAACGGTGGTCTAACATCAATTGACTCATTACCTCAACCAAAAACAATAAAAGTTTGTTGGATGATATAAGAATGAGTTTGAAGAAATTTAGACGTAACCAGCTCAAGATGTGGCATCACTTTGGCAAGTCACCGATTGTGGGAGGAACGAGACATATTGTTGGATATAGACTATCCGGTTGTCATTCACGTAACTAACATGAACAGTGGTTGAAGTCTTTATTTAACATGGCTTATAATCTGTCGTGATAATCCAGATGCGCTTTTCTTTATCTTGTTTTACATCTTGAGTCATAAAATAATCCAATCCTTTTTTATTTCACAAATTCTATTCCTCCTTCTCAAACCATTACTTACTTACTAACGCCTGTTACTCCAAGTGAAGGAGCATAGGCAGCTCACCAGCATTCACCATCCAACCGTGTCCTGGGCAATCCTTTCCAGCTCCTTCCAGTTGTTATTAATCCTTCTCATATCTGCTTCTATTTCTCGACGTAGT